AGAAATTAATATGCATCAATCCAGTATAGCAAGCATAGTTTTATACCAACCATAAAAGCAAATATGAAATAATCCATTAGTCCAATTAAAATTGAACAAAAACAAAGCTTGCAGAACACAACACACGTTTACATACATGGTTTCATATGAAAAAAATCAAATCAAAGCATATATGGTATTTTCATAAACAAAAAACAAAAAAAATAACAACCAAAACCCAATTCCAGATTCTGCAACATGGGTTTTCACACACGCATAGGAATCCTAAGAAACAAGCCGGGAATGCAATGCATACGATGAGAGAGAGAGAGAGAGAGAGAGAGAGAGAGAGAGAGAACTGAGATGAAAGATGAATGCAAAGTACCTCCGAGTCCGAAGAAGGTTTGGCTTTGAAGCTCCTCAGGCAATTATCCTTAAGAATAAAGTACCTTTTGCGTGAGTATTGCAACCCAAGCCGATTGGACCCAATGATGTAAAGCCAACCCTCCATTGTACCATCATTCTGTGAGATACCCATTTGAGAAAAGATCACAAGACACCAACTTTCTGATTTCCCAAGCACTATTTCGGAGAGTCTTTAGCTTATCAACGATGGTTGTTTTAGTTTTTTTTTTCTTATTCAAAATTGTTGTTATGCTAGATGAACGAAAAAAAGATGCCAAGGATTGGGGCAGGAAAGATGATCCTCTGATCCCACCTAAGGGAATCAGAGAATCAATTACAGAATTTCAGGGCTGGAATATCAGAGCAATGCTCTTCTCTTTCTTCTTTCTCCCTTTCTTTCTTTCTGTATTTCTTTCTCTGTTTTCTGTTCCCGGTTTTGAAAGAACTGATTTTGGCGTATATATACGATTCAGAGTTTGGTTGTGCAATTCCAATTTTACCCCTTCATCTTATTTGTTGTAATTTAAATAGTTTTATATTCATTCTCTTGCCTATAATTTTATTTTCTTTCTTTCTAAGTGGTATGATTTCTGAATGCATGCATTATGCATAAATACATGGTGCTGCATTTTGCAGTTTTCATAAATATAAAATGTATATTAATCTTTCCAAAGAGGCTAACTACCCCTCTAATTGTTATTTTTGTTGGCAAATTCGTTTGATTAAATAAAATTGTCAATATCTTGAATGCAATTAATAGCATCTCGTACAGTCATTCTCATCATAATTATCATACAGTTGAGTGGTGTTTTCCATTTATGAAAATTTGGTAGGCTGGTTGGCAGTGTAATTGTGGCATAATAATGGTTTTTTTTTATTCATAACTCATTAATATTTGAGATGTATCATTTTTCGCTCAAACAGTAAATCAAATTTAATATTAATTCTTTAATTAAAACTACGATTTCTCAACAAATTCATGTAAGAACTCCTTTTCAAGTAAGTTTCGTTAGCATTTTTCAAAAAGTAAAGGAACATGAAGGTATGATTAAGTGGGTTTGTGAAGTTTTGATGCATGAATTGAATTTCCAAATAAATATCATTTGAGTTTAAGCGACCAAGGGCAAGAAGGTCAAATGGGAATACTTGATCATTCTTCTCTATCCAAAGTTCCCCGTAGGTGTGACACCCTATAAAAAAAATGATGAGTTGTAGAGTGAATAATCTTTATTTTTGTTGTTACAAGAGCGAATAATCTAGACATTTCTAAGAAACCAGCAAATAAATCTAAGATTTTGAAGAGGTTTTAGAATATGATTTTTATTGGTTAGGAAAGAAACATAACTGCCACAGCAAGGAAGGAAGGGGCAGAGCATGGTCCATAGAAAAAAGAGAAGGGTGTCTTTTTGCTTAAAATAAGACTAGAGCTGTTTAGGCATCCAAGTGGATGGTGTCCAATCAATGGATTCCTTAGTCCTTCCAAAGGTTGCTAAAATCGATGCTCTGCTTCTCTGTCTGGCAATGGATTCACCTGTCCTTTTACCAGGTCAACCAAAACTCTATTCACAAAATCTTCCCCAAAGCAATAAAAAACTAAAATGGGAAAGAAAGTCTCTGGTAGCTTCACAGACAAGGCAGGACTTTGGTTTTTGCCTAGTGTCTAGTAAGAAGTTCTATGTACAAGAGGGATTTCATGTTGATATTGTTTATAATACATTACTATGTTTTGTGTAGTGATTGCAGTGACTACTTATAATGTTCTTTTGAATGAGTTGTATCGACTATGTTAATTATCTGAAGAGTGTATTTTCGATGCGAAATTTCACTTATTCAGAATAATTCAATTAGTTACTTAAACTCTAATAGAAAAAGAAAAAAAAAAGAATCCGTCAATCAAACAACTATAAATAACATCCACTATTTATACGACTACTCTCACTTTGAATAATTACGTACTCAAATTATATCCTGTTAAGAATTTAGACAGGACTAGCAAGCCAAAGGGGAAGGAATCTTACGTACAAAATGTAGCAAGCCATCTTAGCATGTTATTGTAATTATATTACATAGTCTTCTTGAATGTAGTTGTGTCAATTACATCAAGAAAAAGACTGAACTTTCCATTTAGTGAGGTTGTTGAGATGTCCATATATAAAAGTTTAGTGGACAGCTTAGTAACTAATTATTAAAGAATATGAGACTACAACTCCAATGATGAATTTATTAACTTTAATTACTTTACATGATGAAAAATTCAGAACTTTATGCTTAAAATCAGTTCATAGACTTTCTTCTTCACCCCTACTCAAGTCAAAAAGCTTAGCAGTAAACCAGTAAATAGGGTAAATGTGACATGAAATTAGTAGACCCACCAAAAAACTTTTGGTTCTAGAATTTTATACTTGTTCATTGTGGTTGCTTCTTTAAACAAAAGCAAAACTAGGGTCACTCTCTCATTTTTCTTTTTGACATTATATATATTTTCTTGACAAAACTTATAATTGCGGATTAACTTTATGCATGGAGCTAATTATAACTCATAGGAGTCTATCCTAAGACTGTCTTTACCTCAATTTTCATCTTTTTTTTTATTCCCCAAATGATTAAAGATACACTTTATATATATATATATATGTATGTATATATGCAAGATAATACCTATGTGGAGACATGGGCAGTATGACTTGTGTGATATTGATTGCTATTGACTACCTATCCATATTGCAAAACTAAAAAAGTGTTATACTTTAAGCCAGAACAAGAACTAAAACGATGAACAAAGAATAAGGAATACAAACAATTTAAGGGTTCCTCCAATATTAGAGTACCTCCCCAACCAACGGAAGCTTCTTATTAATTACCAAAGAAATACAAGAGAACTCACAAACCCAACAACTCTCAAGTACACAAACAGATGCCTCTCAAACTTAGCTCTACACTGCTCCTAAGGTCATCTATTTATACTAATAGATGACATAGGTTACAATCAAATCTTATACATAAGAAACCAAATGATAGACTAAAACTGTATCCTAATCAAACTAGGAAATTAAGCCAATGTTAGCTTGCGTCCAAGCTGACCCAAAAACCTACAGCTTTCCTTTTCCTACATTGATATTTAGTTTAGGCGCATATTGATTTTATGCCAATTCCAACAAAAAGTCAAGGTCAGTTCCTTACAAAATGGGACATTTTCTTTCCATACTCAAACCATTGCCATCCCTCATCTTCAATGTCTGTCAAAATCAAAGCCTATGAACTATCTAACTTGCATTAATAAAAACGAATTAGGACCAACAAGAAAGCACATGTATATGTAGTGGGTCAGAAGTCTAGCCTGATGATGACGACCAAGCTGTAAAAAGTTGTCCAACCCAAGCTAACCCATGATGATAATGGATTTTCATGAGCTAACCAACCATATATACTTTATGGAGAGATACAAGAAAGAAAGGTCTGTCCAAAATTGGATAATATTCAACAAAAGTGGATAATATGAATATGATGAGAATGTATGGGTTGCATTATGGCAAATGCTAAAGGAAGAAGTCTATAATAATAAACTTGGTAGTTTTTAGGTAGGGAGAGAGAGGGTTGGTTGGTTATTTGATGGTGACTATTGACTGCTGAGGGATGGAATGGGATGATGGGGAAGCAAATCGCATTCATTTTCTTGGTGGGCTGAGTGAGGTGGTTGCAAATCTTTCAGAGTTTGTTTGTGCTGCTGCTGGGATTTGAGATTGAGACGACGACAAGGTCGCATATGTAAACTTACAGGGTGACAAAGTGTGATGGAGGAGGCTTTCGAATTCGGATCATAATTAATGATTTCCATTTTGCCAGAGGTTTTTTTTTGTCCTTTTTTATCTATGCATAATGCTTGCATGCATACAGCTTTTTATTTTTTATTTTAGATCTTTTTTATTGAGAGATGCGATAATATATTAACTCACACATACTACACAACCTCTACACAACCTCTCATTAGTGTGACATTATTTCATATCCCAGTTTGATGAAGCAGTTAGCTGTCGTGGTAAGCTACAAATCGCCCAAGTTATACAAGAAGAGCTACGCCGAGAAGAAAGCTGTATAAGAACCTGTCGTTTGACGGAAGCTGCAACTTGCAAGCAAGAGGAGCTGTCGTTTGGTTGCATAGTCGTAATTTTGTTTGATGGTAATTTAGGGGTTCGTCTACAGTTCTGTCAAAGCTTAATTCGTAATTTTCTGTATTGGGAATTAATGAAAAGACTCAGAACTCTGGCAAGAAGTCCCAACTTGCTGTAGTTTTGCTCTATTTTTGCTGTTTTCTAGTTCTTACAGTGTGCTCTGTATAGCAAGAAGAATGACAGAAAAATGTTTTACATACAAGCACTGCAGCTTGGTACTTATATTCATCCACATTTTAGGCCATAAACAATATCAAGTTCTCTGCCATATTATCTAAAATGATTTATAACAAAGTATTTTCACTATCAAAACACATTTGAATCCATGCGTATCTCTAAGACTAGGTCCATAATATAACGCTACATTCAGGTTTATAAAGTGAGAGGGTCAATGCACAGCAAAATTTATCTCACGGTAACCTACATCATATAGGGTAATTTCAAATTTTAGGGCCCAGAGTGACTGCCAACGTTCACATACAAGCGTCCTGGCTCCTTAGCTCCACTTAATCATCTACAAGTTTAAGTTGTTTCATCAGATAAGCCACAAAGTAAAATAGTTTCGACAGTAAAGATCATTCTATTGCAAGTGTGTAATTACAAGTTGTAGAACCCATACCTTGAAGAATCAAGATGATGTCTTGCATATCGAAAAGTCTATGTGTAGGTAAGCTATACTAGCCATGAACACGAAGAAAAATGTAGACACTAACATTAGTGGTTCTGCCAGCATAAAAATTGGGTTGAAGCTGTAGTAAACCTGCCAAATTAAGTTCAGGAGAAAGAGTGGGTTCAGCCACTTCTCATTCTATTATATTAAGGAAGGTGCACATGCATATACATAATGCATTTAAATTTCAATTCCTTCACGAGACAGGACTCTAAGAAAATTCAATACTCACTTGATCCATAATATTATAGAATGACCATTTCACAAGTAGAACATATATATATTCTAGGATCAATGACCTACCCTGCAATGCACAACTAAAATATATGCTAACCTTTGTGCCATATTTACTATTGGTTGAGCCTAACTGATCCCAGATACGCTCCCACCAATGACATATAGACATTTTTGAGGTTGAACTTAACCAATTGGAGAGCTTGTGCTCCTTTAAATTCATCTAGAGTGTGTAAAGGACTATAATCGTATCCTAGAATATGTCATTGGTGGGAGCATATCTGGCCACATGTGCAGAGTTGACAGTCCTGACTTTAGGTTTTAGGATAACTTACCTCAAGCAATATATAGAATACTTAGGAGAATAAATTTCAAGCAATATTAGTTATAGCCTAGTCACCTGGAAAGGAGAGTTGTGCTCTGGAACTACGTTTTCCTTTTCAAGAACCACCACTGTCCTTCCAGCAACATCAAGGTATGAATATTTGATCTGCAGATATAAGAATGAAAAGATATGCTCACAATCACCATCACATAAAATAAAAAATAAAAAACCATTTTATTTGCACCAAATAAAAAGTTTTTTTATTTATAAATATTTAGATAGTCCTTTTTTTGGGGCAATGAAAAAGAGTTAAAATCTTGTAATTTTTTTTAATGCACTTTGCAAACAGTATAGAGGGGGAAAAAAGTTCAATTATCACATGGATGCATCTATCAATATGAATAAAGCGCTACAACTGGATTACCTCTAGATGTTGCTTAACAGAGAAAGGAACCACAGCAGAAGGATCTTTTGATCCCTCTGGTAGCACAACCTGAAATATAGCAGTTGGTGAATCAGTAAGTTAATATTACCATGTCTGGTGGGAACAAAAAAGAAGAGCTAACGAAACCGAAAATAGAGCAATATGGATACAAAAATGAAGTAACTAAACCCACTTTTATGATTAACTTGTCTACCACCGTCTCAGCAAGAGGACAACCAAAAGTGAAGTTGAGGTATCGCCTGCCATCAGGTGACTCAAAAAGGAAGTCTTCCAATGGTAGCCCATACCCAATCACAAAAGTAGCTTTCCAACCTCCAAACAAAGGATACCTTGGCTCAATTTCAAGATCTGACTGAAAAAAAAAAGAAGTATTGAAGAAACAAAACAGAATCAGCATTGGATATATGTAAAAGGAAAACTTCCTTGAATATATATGTTCCATTTCAAGGCAAAAAAGTTACCTTTAGATAATCTATACGTAAATGTGATGACGAGATGTTGCCAATTTCATCTCGGTAAAAGACAGAATGGACTCTAGGAGGTAGTCTGGCTAGAAGATATTTGAATGAAGAGATTCCACCAGAAGATGGCCTAGATTGATATTCAACCCTGCCAAAAGGAAGCCTTGGAGGATTAATATTAAAAACAAACACTCATAACAGTTTTTTATGAGCATTAACAAACATTATTCCTTTTCATTATTTTTTGCAGCAAACATAATGCAAATTAAAGGCTGTCTTAACCTTGGTCATGGAGTCCAAATCTCCAGAACGTATCTGTAAAAGTTTGAATTTCTTCAGCTGTGTGATGATGAAATGATATGAATTTTACTTTTATGTCTCTGAAGTTCAACTTTTGATATTCACCAACATAGCACCAACATAGTTTTATGAGAAGTCTATTTCCTATTGATTCATGGGATTATTTCACTCTGCAAATATCAGTTTTATTCAAAATATTAAAACTCTTCACATATTGTAATTTCTTCTAGCAATTAAAAGGAAATGATTTCTTATATGAGATTATAGGTATGTACAAAAGGCCCCTTCTTCATTTTCGTCTTCCCCAAAATCTCAGGATCAACCTTGACCATATCTTGGAGACTCAGTTTTTCTAAGTTGGGTGTTTGTTTTCATATCCATGCGATACATAGATGCATAAACTTACACAGATAGCAGGATTTACAACATCAACATATAATAAATATAGAAGATAAGACCAGCAACAGAGCCTACCTCGAAAAAACACCTTTATGTCGTGCACCAGCATGTGACAACCTGTAATGCTCTGTGATCTGAAGATTGCCCCAATGAGATATTTCCACTTCGCGTACAAGCTCCTCAACAACAGCAAATGGCTTGTTATTCTCAAAATGAACAATTACTGGAGAATAAGAGTATGCAGGGCGATCCTTGTAAGGGCCATACTTTATTTCAGTACCAGCACGGTTAGTGGACTCTACTCTTGTAAATGATTCCACCTTAGTACTAGGTGTTCTTATAAAAGTAGTCTGCTGCTTAATATAATATGGTGACAATATTATTGCACTATCACGATAATAGACCAACTGAGACTCTGCTTGGTTTATCTCTGCAGGGAAAGGCTCCAGAGAATGTGTCAATATATAAAGCACTTCTAATGTTGCAGTTTCACCTGCATTTAATGGGTTGAGCAAAGATATGGAAAAATATTTGGTCTGATTTGGTGCATCAGGGAGGTCAGTGGGATTCACTTCAAGAGGCACATAGCTTTCTTTTTCTTTTTTCCAACAGTGAGAGCTGCTTTGAGCGAAGCTATATGATCAACCTGTGTAGGTGGAAAAGCAAGAAGTACTTCCGAAACAGGAGATGCACCAGTATTTTCAACCTGAAAGACAACCCCAGCAATCTAATAAACATCCCAGTACATTAAAAAGCTATTGTCAAAATCACTGATGCTATATGATCACAAAGTACGGTTGTCTACGGTGCCACGTTCGTCATTGCTACAAGTGTTGTGTCCCACCTGTGGTGCATGGTGCAGCAAAACTCGCAGGTGGCATGCCAATTTGTAAAGAAAAGACTAAAATTTCAAAACTTCTACATTATACCATATTCAGACTACGTTTTGTAAATCTATTACATTAAAGATTGAAACTAAGCTCGATAATCTACATTGATGCCGAAAATTCGACATGAAAGATATCTATAAAATTGTAAACTGCGGTGCCACGTTAATCATTGGTACAAGTGTTGTGTCCCGCCTGCGGTGCATTGTGCAGCAAAACTCGCAGGTGGCATGCCAATTTGTAAAGAAAAGACTAAAATTTCAAAACTTCTGCATTATACCATATTCAGACTATGTTTTGTAAATCTATTACATTAAAGATTGAAACTAAGCTCAATAATCTACATTGATGCCGAAAATTCGACATGAAAGATATCTATAAAATTGTAAACTATGATATCAAAGATGTAGACTTGATTCCACACCCAGAAAATTTTCCAATTTCCACAGACTGGGTACAATTTTCTACAATAATGAGTCCAATCCAAGAGTGTAAGCAATACAGAAAATACAGAAAATATATACCTTTAACGTCAAGAAAACCTTAACAATGTGAGAGGACAAGTCAATCTGCAAAGAACATATATTGATCAAACATAAATGCATATAAATCATAACGATGAAGATAATTTGAGCGCTGGGGAAGCGGAAATTAAAGGGAAGGCTTACTCTGCGCTCAGCGTTGAGGATCTGGAGATCCTGAGGGGAAGAGGAGTAAGCAAGCAGTGAGAGATGGGACAAGATCCAGAAAGCTACGATTACTCGACCTAAGCTTCGCAAAGCGTCCATGGCTTCCAGTGAGAGAGTGCCTTGACTCTCCTGCGACGACTGGGGCAGTGTATAGTGGAAAGGCTTGAGCTGGGCTCACTCTTTAGAGGTGCTCAAGCTTTGACTTGACCATTCAGGAATGGAGGATCATGGTTTTTGGGCTTTGTTTGTGTGGGCTTGTTATGGTCTCAACTTATTCATTTTTAAATAAGTCCATTGCTTATATGAGAGAGGCCTCTTTGGCAATCCGCTTTCCCAATAAAGAACTTATAAAAAAAACAAAAAAAAAAAAAACTTAAGTGTGTTGACAAGGGGCTTACAAACTTCAAGTGCTTAAAAGCATTTATTTATCCATATATTCGATATCCTATATGTTCCATGTGTATTTGATGGTACACCACCTATGTGGTATACCTGAAACATACAAAAATTTATCAATGTCCTAGTTTCGATTTCCCCTCACCTAAAATCATTTAAGTAAAAGTGCTTGCTACATAAGCACCATCAAACAAGTGGTTTGACGAAACTTTAGAGTTGATCAATAATTTATTTATTTATTTTTTTAAACCACCCATTTATCTTTTCTTTTCTTTTTCTATAGGTATGGTTGAAAAGCTAGCTTGTTAGACAATTTTTAGGAACACCATGTGTCATGTAGTGGTAAAGTCAAATGAAAAATACGATGCAAATTGGTAAGGAATGGATATTAGGTTCAATTTTATTGTGAAAAGGAAAGGAACACGTTTAGTGTGAAACCCTCATTCCATTTTTCCCTTTTTATTTGAGGAAAGATTTATTAATAGGAGAAAATTGTAAGTGTAACTGATTGTATATAATTATGTGTATATGTTGAGGACTGCAAATCATAGTCGGGGTGCTATAGTCTCTAGCAATCGTGTGACTATTTCGTAACTACAATTGATGATAAATAAAAAAAAAGTTTATTTCCATCAATAAGATAAGAAAATAGACAAGTTAGGTGGATTTTTATCTTTATTCTGTTTATCCCATTTCATCTAAACCAATACTTATCAATAAGAGAAAAGTTTAAGTGTCTAGTTGTATACAATTATATATTGTGGTGACATCGTAGTCACCAAAAAAAGCTTGCAAATCAAGTGGAGCGCTATCATGTGGCTATTTCCATCAATAAGATTAGAATTAGATCCAAACAAATAAGAATTATACTTTTGCAAAGGTAGAAGGAAAGAAAATGGTTCTATGCTAAGTAGGGGCAGATTTTGGAAACACAACTATTGGAGGATCCAAATTGAGGAATTCATTAACCATCCTTTCCATAAAGTCAAAATACATTTTCTCTGTTGAGAGATAGGAAGAGTCAAATCCCATGCCATGCAAATTTTATAACTTTTGCAAGACAAAGAAAGGTCTTATTGTCACGTTCCATTCTGTCCGCCATAATCGGGCCCTTCTAAGAATGGATAGCCATAAATCTTTTACAAAGTACACTGTACATACGGAGAATTTGAAGCAGTCTGGCCAAAATATTTTAATGAGAGTTTCATTAAAGTGGAATATTATATAGTACTCATCCAACGTTGGAAGTTACGAAAAAAAAAATTAAGAAAAAAAAATATAGGTTATGTTTCTAGAGAGTGATGCACCAAACACTGCCTCTGCCTTTTCCCCGTAACAGCAGGAACTGAATTCTCTTAGATCCTCCCCCTTGGACTCGGGACCTTCTCCAACCTGCCCTGTACCCCAAAAGCTCAAAAGATTTTAGAGAGAGAGAGAACCCATTTTCAGCACTGCCTTTGAATGATATATATGTCTCTCTGGTGGAGCTGTTTTGAATGATATTGGAGGACAGACTGAAGAGTGTTTAGATATGGCGTGCGTGAAGTTGGGATCTAAATCTGAAGTCTTTCACCTTGATGGCCAAACTTGGTATGTTGTTTTGATGCTGGCTTTTCTTTTCTGTTTACATTGAGAATTTAGAATGTTGGGTTTGCCATAACACTGGGAATGGCATAATGGGTTGGTTTCAATTGTATTTTTAGATTCTGAGATTTCTGGGTTCTAATTTTTCTTGTTTAGGTTCTTTAGAGAATTACTCAATTGGGCTCTGTCCTTTTTGTTGACGTTCTTCCATGGTTTAAATCATAACAAGAAAAGGAGATAGTTTTCGGAGAATATAACAGATGAGTAGAATCTATATTTGGTTGATTCTTGCTAATGAGACCAATGAGAAAACAGAGAAACTTTATCTTGTGAGACAACTTGCTTGGTGTCTTGATCGATGTCAACGTTTACACATATTCCTTGTTGCTCCCTTACAACGAATTAATAAGTGCACTGTATCAGTTGTACTTTTGTTAATCAGTTCTACCTCTATGCCCTTCTTCTTCTTCTTCTTCTTCTTCTTCTTCTTCTTTTGTTGAACAATTAATGTTCTCTTTGGCAGGCTTTGCTCAACTGGACTTCCCAGTGACATTGTCGTTGAAGTCGGAGAAACATCTTTCCATCTCCACAAGGTGAATTTTACTGGGTGAATTCTACAATATATATGTAGGATATTATCATTTGGAAGGCAATGCTTGCATACCTCACACTGATGACTCATTGGCTTGAATCTGAGGCACGCAAACAAAATGCTTCTCCTCAGCCTTTTGTTTTTGTTTGATAAAAAATACTTAGGATGTTAACCCCATTTCTACATATGCAGCTCTGTGTTTATTTCTGCTCACTGATTTGTTAATGACATTCTCTCCTCATCTGCTGTGTATTCTCATACACTGTATTTTGTTTCCACCTTTTCTACATCCACCAGTTTCCTTTGCTGTCTAGAAGTGGATTGCTAGAGAATGTTATCGGAGAAGTTTCTAGCGAGGATGAGCAGGAGTGTATTGTGCAACTGCATGACATTCCTGGTGGAGCCAAATCATTCTTGCTGGTAGCCAAATTTTGTTATGGTGTGAGAATAGAACTCAATGCGTCAAATGTAGTTAGTTTGAGGTGTGCGGCTGAGTATCTTCGTATGGGTGAAGACTATGGAGAGGGAAATCTCATAACAAAAGCAGAGGATTTTCTAAACGAAATCTTTAGCAATTGGAGTGATTCCATTAAAGCACTTGAAACCTGCGAAGAGGTATTGCCTCATGCCGAAGAGCTTCATCTTGTTTCAAGATGCATCAATTCATTGGCAATGAAAGCTAGTGCTGATCCAGGTTTATTCAGTTGGCCTGTGTCGGGAAAGGATGCAACGGAGAGCTCAGAAGGCGTGGCGTTTTGGAATGGAATATGCACAACAGCCAAGCCACATCCAGTCAGTGAGGATTGGTGGTATGAAGATGTCTGCTCCCTAAAGTTTCCTCTTTATAAAAGACTGATTCTGGCTGTTGAATCAGGGAGCATGAAGCCAGAGAGGATTGCCGGCTCCATCATGCACTATGCAAAGAGGCATCTATCCTTGTTGGGTAGGCAATCGAGTTTTCGAAATGGAAACCATGCTGCCTCTTTATCAACTGTTTCTGCTCCATCTAATCCAGACCAAAGGAATCTCCTTGAAGAGATAGTGGAATTACTTCCTGATCAGAAGGGTGTCACACCAACCAACTTCCTGCTTAGGCTTCTGCGGACATCTATGATTTTGCAAGCTAGCACATCATGTCGAGAGAATTTGGAGAGACAGGTTGGGGCCCAATTGGATCAAGCAGCTCTTGAAGATCTCTTGATACCAAACATGGGGTACTCAGTGGAGACCCTCTATGATACTGACTGCGTTCAGCGGATTCTTGATCACTTCATGCTTACGGACGGCGATTCGATTGAGTGTACTTCGAGCTGCATAGTGGATGAGGGCCAGTTGATGGGTGCATCTCATTCACTGACCCCAATGACCATGGTAGCTAACCTGGTGGATGGCTATCTTGCAGAGGTGGCACCTGATGTTAACTTGAAGTTGCAAAAATTTCAGTCTCTAGCTGCTGTTATCCCTGAATATGCCAGACCATTAGACGATGGAATTTACCGTGCTATCGATATATACCTCAAGGTACATAGATCTTTACTCTTATTTATGATCATGGTTATGAAAATCTGGTTGAAGGACTTGCTCTACAACTTCCAAAGCATTTCCAATGCTTGTTATAACATCTTCTACTTTCTAATCTTGATAGTTTTTGGTGCTTTGGGACTGTTTAAATTTTTTGTAAATTTCTAAATCAAAACAAGGCATTGAGGCCTGCACACAGCATAAGAAAGCAAATCTGCAATGCTTTTGGGAAATTGTTGCAGCCATTAGAATATGTTAATATTTCCATTACTTCTTAAGCTAACTTACTTTTTTCTCAAGTTCAGGCCCATCCCTGGCTAACAGACTCCGAGAGGGAACAAGTCTGCAGGCTCATGAACTGCCAGAAGCTCTCACTGGAAGCCAGCACACATGCAGCCCAGAATGAGAGGCTACCGCTCCGTGTCATTGTCCAAGTTCTGTTCTTTGAACAACTTCGGCTGCGCACATCAGTTGCCAGTTGGTTCTTTGTATCTGACAACCTTGAGAACTCACAAAACCAGAGTGGGAATCTTGTGCTTGGTCGAAATGAGGCATCTGCTCACGCTGGCACCGCTCGGCGTGATCATACTGTGACCGTTGATGACATGAGGGAACGAGTTTCTGAGCTAGAGAAGGAGTGTTTGAGCATGAAACAAGAGATGGAGAAACTGGTGAAGACAAAGGGGAGCTGGAACACATTCTTGAAAAGGTTTGGTTTGAGACTCAAGTCAAAATCTGATGCCAAAAAAGCATCCAAGCCCCGCAGTGATTCCAAAGAAGCACCTACATCTATAGCACCACCACTTATGAAAGGAAAACAAGATTTTGAAAATAATGAATTAAGAGATTGAATTTTCAAAATACTAAAATGAAAATGAAACCTTTTTTTTTTCCAGTCTGGTTAGTGTTGTTAATGATCTAGGCTGTGGCTTGTAATTATGTTTTAGACGTCAGATATTGTATTCCATGAAACTTTCTCTTTATCTTCCTCAATTCTATTCTATGTTCAAAGAATATTGGGAATAATCAAATGCAGAATTGAAGGGAAAATCACTGGATCCTTGGTTGTATTATCAAACATTCTCAAACACGAAGACCCAATTGAAAACAATTTGTGAATGTATTGATTTAAGAAATCAACACTTCAACTTTGCTTCTACTTTTTTTGTTTTGTTTTGATGAATTCACCTTTAACTTGCTTCCATGAACGGTTCAAGTAATGAAAATTCATCACACAATTGTAAATTTGTATAATTATTTTTTATTAATCTTAAAAAGGAATATAGAAAATGACCAGTTTGGTCATGCAATTTGCAAGTTTTTTCAAATAGGTCCTCGTAAAATTAAAAGCATACCATAATTAGGCACAATATCACGAGAGGATGTTCAAGCCGACACATAGAGATTCTTAAGTGATGCCAATTGTATATAATTATATGTTTATCTTTCTTCTCACATGACAACTCATATGCTAATTTGGACAATAGCGTAAGGACGTTCAAGCCAATATAGTGGTTGCGGCTGCTTGGCACTTAGGTTCAAAATTCTAGAATTTCTGTAATCCCAATATAACCAAAACGAGATAGACACGTGATTGTAAATAATTGGTCACATAGCATATTTTCTCTTACACATGAACTTGATTGGGAAATTAGCCAAGCACATAAACTTGATAGAAAGAAGAAAAAAAAATTTATATCACTACCAATTAAGCATAAAAGCATATGAGAACGTTTAAGTCTAATCACAAGAATTTAATTGAAAATTTTAAAACAATAGTGATACAAATGAGGAAAAAAATACACACACAAATTACATGACATGAAAGGATCATACCCAAATTCTACTTTGGAATCTGTGTCGAACTCCGTGTGTGTCCAACACCTGGCAGGTGTCGAGTATGAATGACCAAAATACCCCTCTTGCCTTAATCCTAAAAACTGTTTAGGGTTTGACTTCTATTGGAAAACCAGTAGAGTCTCCCATGAAAAAGGCTCAAAACCCAGAAATCTACATGCATATCAAACTCAATTATTTCCCAAGCGTTCAGCAACACAATGTATAAACCACACACCAATTAGCAAAAGTTTCAATGGGCTACATGCCCCCTTTACCAACATAAGAAGGTCAGCAATTTCAACTTGACAAAACTGAATATAACAACCAAATCATAAACTTGCAGCTGCACCAAGTTAGCCTAGGTTGCCTACATACCTATACTGAGGGATCAAGCCACACGTAGTTCTTTCTACCATAATGCCCATTAATCTTCGTTGCTCATTTGCAAAACTTTCATATCGATGTCCTCTATCTAACCCACCCATTTTTCCAGCTCAAAAAACCCAAGGAAATTAAACTGGAATGACTAGAAGTTTTGGTGATTTTCGAAGATTCCGACGACTCTGGCTGCCATTTTCGTCGAGTGAAGTATGAAACTTCATCTACTTTTTGTGCTTTATCCATTTATGTAACTATTGTCGATCGATTGTGAGGTATTCAAATCGTTCAATATACCCATTTTTAGTCGACGATTTCGACTTTGATTTGGCTAGTTCCGGTTAGTTTTTGGCGGTGGTCCAAGAACAAAAAGTGTTCCCTTATTTGTGCTTGAACTGTTGGTATAGGTATTGTGAGGTGTTTCAAGAAATTTCCGTCGTCGAAATTTCTCAAGACACCCAAGCGTTGCCGGCGACGGGTGGCGGCATGTGGGCCACTGTGTGGCGGTCCATTGCATTCTAAATTCTTTCCCTTATCGTCCTAAGCACGACGGTATGCTCGGATTTGGAATTGATTATCGTCCTAAGTAAATCACACACTTAGTTTTTTTTTTTTAGGCATATAATTATTTAATGAAAACTAACCTCTCCGCATGAGCTTCCGTGCATGCGAAAGACTTAAAAAAAATTATTTTAGAATTAAAAAATATAATAAGCAGTTGTGTTCCATAAAAATAGAATTCATTATCTGAATTTTCTTTTAATTTTAATTTTTTTTAAATATGAAAATGTGAAAATATTATATTATCCTCATTTAATTAATAATTTCAATTCTTAATGTTTGCATTAACCAATGTCATTTTTTGGTATTTTGAATGTTTTACCATTCTCTTCCTTTTGCTTTATATATATATATATATATATTTTTTTTTTTTTGTTACTTTCCAAAATTAAAAGATGAGTTCGAATATTCCATATCCCCTTATAGAAAAAATACATTTTTTTATTAAATAAAAATAAAAATCACTGGACTAAATGGGCAATTTTACTAAAAAGAACGAGTATTTATATTTTTTGGACCCAGCTGCCGCCAACTATAAACTTTACTCTTTCGAGTAAAAGAACCCTAAACAGAGACACAGAGGCATCGATTTCCTCTTCAATCGAATCCTCCACAAGCAATTGCCAAATCAAATCCGTCTGAATCAGAAAAAGACCCAAAATCCCCCATGGACAAGCTCCTCAATCTCAATTCCAAGCGCCAGAGAGATCGAAAATGGGAGGACCTAGACCCAGACTGTTTGGCCAACGTCTTCGTCAAAGTCGGAATTGAGTCTCTGCTCTTGTTCGTCCCCTTCGTCTGCAAGTCCTGGTACAGAGCGAGCAAGAACCCCGTGTGCTGGGAACGCCTCGTCTTCCCAGACAGCGAAGAAGAAGCTACAGACGATCCATGGAGCCTCGACGACAATGCCGCCAATCTTCCATGGACCTACGCCAACCGCATCGAAAGCCAGTCCTTCGATTACTTCGTGAGGAGATTCGCGCGCGAGTTTCAAATCCACTGGACCCGTTTCTCAATCCCTAGCTTCATCAAAATGGTCATCAATCGCAGCGGCGGCAACGCCAAGTTTCTGAAAATCCCCGGGATTTGCAGCCACTACGTGAACGCCATTGAAAAAATACTGGAACACATCAGCAAGAACTGTAAGGGCTTCGTTGGGCTGCACGTGGCCTTCGCCGCGATTGGCACGAGCGAGGCCTCTGCGATCGTGAAATTTGTGCCCAATTTGAAGTACATGTGCTTCAGGAAGTCGCGCCTGGAGAAGAACGATCTGGTGATGTTGCTGAAGGAGTGCAGAGAGCTTGTGCTTCTGGATGTGAGGGAGTGCGAGGGTTTTGACGAGCGTGATGAGGAGATTTTGGAGCTGGCTTCTCATATCCCTAAGTTTAGGTGTAAGGGTTCCAAAACGCACGTTTTGAGTGACAATGATTTGGAGGTTGCATATCGTGAAATAATTGAGATTGACGATGAGTGAGGAGGAAAGGCAGAGGAGGAGGTTTATTTTGATCGTGAACTTTGTGTATTGTGAATCTAATGATGCAAAGAAATGTAATGGAATTCTACAGACCAAAAATGAATAAATAAATAAATAAAACTGTACTTGTTCTTTTGATTTTGCTAGTTTTATTTTATATTTGAATGTAGTACGTCGATATCAAGAAGAAAGAAAAGGACTTGCCTTTTGATACAAACTTGTGTCCATTCCCGAAAGTATTAAAAAGGGGCTTGTAGTGAATTCTACACTTGAAAAATGGTACGAAAAAGTGTACTATGTGATCGAGCCGGCCGTCTAAACCAAGTCAAATCAAACCGAATCGGATCATTTATTAATATGTTCTTAACTATTTTGGTATATGACATTTTTGTCTTGGTTGTGACCTTTATTGGCATGTCTCATTTCCGCCCTTTAATCGGGAAAATTAAAATCCCTAATTCATCGTTTCTACTTATGTATGCTATGATATAAATTTCTCTAAAATATTGTTTAATTTATAGTATAAAGTTCATTTTGATATATGTAATAGTGTTCTTTGATAAATTGATTATAATGGAAAGCAATCAAATGAAACCAGTTTGAGGTCTAAATCCAACTAATTCAAAATGTTTCAATTTCAACCCAAACCGAAAAGAAAATAATAAGGCGGGCAGTTGGCCCGAAAAGTAAATTAGGCGGGCTGAGTTGCGGGGCTGGGCCCATTTGCGGAATCTAACCAGATAAAATCTTTGCAAAGAAGCGAAGCTAACAATTCCTTCTGTAGCTCTGTTTCTCACCTAAGATAAAGCGTTCATCGTCACTGTAAGCACCCTTAGCTCTTCTCTCTCGTTATATACTGCCTCGTTCGTCTTCTTCAAGCCTTTTCGAAGTGTAATTTGTGCTTGTATGCATTTTGTGCTTGTATTTGTTTATTTTCCGTATGTCAAAATTTGTCTGCCTCAATTTCTCTGTGGAAGAAGATAAAAAGATTTGAGCTTTTTCGCTCATAAGTCGTTTGATGAAATGCCTAGCTGAAATTTTCCGCCAGACTTCCTTTAATATAAGTGAACTTACTGTTGTGTGGCCTCCTGCATTCCCATATAGCTCATTTTCCTTTTGGTCTGAACTATCTCTAAATTTCTCGCAGACATGGTTGCCCACTGGCAGCGTTTCCTCTCTAATTTACTTAATTAATCAGTGTAAGTGGCTCCTGAGAGTTTCTGATATCAAGCATTTCACACTATGCCCCGTACCCTTTTGTAGTTAGTAGAAGTTTGGACAAATTCTAAAACTATAATGTCATTTGTAGTCACCTCATCCTCCATAATCACCTCCTCTTATTTTAGCAGCTATAGGGTTTCTAAATTAAGAACTTGCGAAAATACTTTGACAACACCATGTTTTCCTTTTGTTCGATGCAAAAATCCATTTTGCCTCGCTGAAAATATCCATACAACTTTGACTAGAAAACCAAATGGTATTTTAAGGTCTAGTGTAACGAATTGCACAAAACCAAATTATCAGTCCTTCACTGGAGAAGACGCAGTTTTTCTTGATTTGGGTGATGAAGACGAAACAGGGTCGCCCTGGGAAGGGGCAGTTATTTACAAGAGAAACGCTTCCATATCACATGTTGAGTATTGCACAACGTTAGAGAGGCTTGGATTGGGGCACCTTTCAACAGAGGTCTCGAAATCTAAGGCTTCAGTGATGGGATTACGAGTCACCAAAGCTGTGAAGGATTATCCACAGGGTACACCTGTTCAGATCTCCATTGACATAACAAGGAAGAAGCAAAAGTTGAGGCTTGATGGCATCATTAAAACTGTTATCGCACTGACTTGCAGCAGGTATTTCAGTTGCTTATTTGATTGACGTCTGGAATGCCATCGATGTATAAATCTTTTTCCTCTTAATATATTTTATTGGTGCTTCCACTTTATATAGGATCTTTTCTGTATGAGTCTTTATCTATAACCCTGTATGAGATAGGAAGTTCAGGGTTCTAATCAAATACCTGTATATTTACTTGGTTTAACTGTCCTTGGTTTAACTGTCCTTGGTCTGAGCTATAGTATGGAAATGACATAAGTACATTTTATATTTTGAGACTAGCAGTTACGGCCCATCTGAAAACACAGGTTGTGTTTGATAAAAAAATCCCTCTCTTCCGTTAGATCAGGTCAAGACATATGGGTCGTTGCAAATAGTGAGCAAATGTTTCACTGTTGAAAATCTGCCATTTTCCTAGGTGAGATGCCTATTAGCTTTAGATGTTAAATCAGGAAAGGGGAGAAAGTTAAGATGAAAAGATACCAGGACCTAGCAAGAGCTCCTCTTAAACTTCTACTTTCACATTCACCTCGCCTGGTAATCTATATCTTCTAACAACTAAGACTGGTTCTATGTTTTCTTGCTTGTAAGCAGGTTAATGGAAATATCGACTATATTATTTCCATCTGTCTTTTCTTTAAGGTATGCTATTTCCTTTGATTAAAGATTGTGTTTATGTTGAAGGTGTGAAGATCCAGCAGCCGAGTGCATCTTCTCAAACTTCTCCCTTCTCCTAACTGATGAACCAATTGAAGAACCTGAGATCATCAATATGGGAGTGATATATGGTGACACTGGAATAGGTGGCCAAGGGGAGGAAGATGATGAAGGCACAATTGATTTTGAGGATCAGCTGTATTTTCGCCCCGGGGACAAAGAAATAGATATTTCAAAGCACATAAGAGACATGGTGCATCTAGAGATTACCATCACCGCAACATGTAATCCAAGTTGCAAGGGTTTGTGTGTCAGTTGTGGTAAAAATTTGAACACTGGCAGTTGTAATTGTAGCAAACAGCAGGCAAAGAAGGGTTTTGGACCGCTTGGAAACTTAAAGAAGCAATTGCAGCAGCAAAAAAAATGACATTTATATATTTTCTGGAATTGCACCAAATGGTTTTAGTTCAAGCACATTGTGAATCCCATATTATTACTATTAGAATTACCATGAATTAATATTCCGTTCTATTTCAGGAAACATTGCATCCTCCACAGAATTCAGTTGATAGAAAATATAAAAATTCTTATTTCTTGGAATTGCGAATTACTAAAATAAATTAGGCTCGTCGTCCATTGTCGCAGACGTGGGTTAGGCGAGTTAGTCATGGCAGCGAACTTGTCCCATTTCACCCAAGTTTGAATCACCATCCTCATAAATTAAATTAGTTTAAACTGTTTAAATTGTCTTCTTTTATTTCATTCTTTTTGCCCAAATAAACTGTTTAAATGATCACTTATGTATAATAAGTAAATGGCCTCAGCACCTGACGAATAAGATTTGGAAATCTTCTTACAACATATAGATTTGTAACTAATGCAATATCCTGCACGCCAAAACGACGCCGTTATACTTGACATTGATTTGGGCCTATCGTTTGACCCCAAAAAAAAACATGCCCAGGCCAGCCCCCAAGCCATACCCATTTTCACGGTCGACCAGTTTTCACCATCTTAATTCGGGTTGAGAGAGAAAACCTAAAACTCCAATTCAATTAGCTTGGGCGTTGATTGTGATGGGTGTGGCGATGACAAGCGTTGAGACAGCAAGAAGCGACCCTGTGATCAAATCGACGTTCAAGAGGTGGGGCAGGAGGCACCCGTTTATCAGATACGGACTTCCGATGATCTCGCTCACCGTGGTCGGTGCAATCGGACTGGGTCATATGATACAAGGCGGCAAGGACGTTGCGAAGGTGAAAGACGATCAGGAATGGGAGATAATTGAGACAAGAAAAGCACTTTCGAGAACAGGGCCGGTGGACGCCTACAACCCAAAAAAGACATCGCTCGAGGAAGAGCTCAAGGTAGAAATTTCCCCATAAGCCATAAGCCAGAAGTAGCCACAAAAGTGCTTTTGCTAACCCAGTTCTTGTTTCTCTGGTTTCTGTTTGTTTATAGGCTTTGCAAGAGAAGGTGGACATAAACAACTACGACTACAAGAAAATCCCGCGTCCAAATGAAGGCAAATCAGCCTAAAGGCCGAGTCTTTAAGTCTTGTGCAATTTCTCTGTGTTGTTGTGTGGCCTTTGAGCTTATGCCTTTATGTAATTTTTGTAGGTTTTGTAATGACTGGCTAACTCTGTTTTCTTGTTGGGTTTAATCTGGTTTAAGGGAATTTACGTTTTGATTAATAAAACATTAGCACCATGTTTGATGTTTGTCTTGTTATAAGCCTGCGATGTGCAATTATTTGGTTGAAAACAGAGGCCTGCAGCAAGTTGTGAATAAAAGAACAGCAGCAGAGAACTCAGAAGCTGTTTGTGGAATAAAAAAACAGGGGAATGCATGCATGACATCAACCAAAACGTAAAAACAGAGCCATTTTTTGGGGCCACAAGCAGTTGCCCGTTTGAAAATCATTTCGATTTTAGTTTTTAGTTTTTAGTTTTTTGGTTTTTTTTAAATTTTATACAACAATACTACTCTAAGGGGAGGGGGCTCAAGCACCAATGTGCACATATGGGGCTTCGAACGGGGTGCCATGGGGGAAGGGGGAAGTCACCACCACTGTGGTAGAACCCATTGGCTTAGCTTTCATTTCTCGTGTGGTGCTTCAAGATTTTGATGTCATGCATTGTGTTGTATAGGTAGACTGCGTTTCTTAAGCTTGGGTTTCTAATGCTCTTTCAATGGGCAAATCTTACAACTTTCGTTTTTATACCTTGCATTGCGCCCACCTCGATTGATCGCAAACATTTTTGGCATTCATGGATGCTTCAAGAGCCTTTTTGAGAGTTTTTCAGAAGGCCGCTAGTGCTTTTTCAGCACTCGACATAAAATAACTAAGAACCTTTTTGAGTTATAAAAGCACATTTTCGTGCTTTTTGGTATGTTTCTCAACATCAACATCCTTTGGTCATAGTTGTTGGATAGTATTACAAAAAGAAAACAACATCCTCAAATGGCAATGTCATAGAAGAAAATAATTGTAGAGTCGAATCGAGTAGATGCATTCCATGCATGCCTCATACATATAAAGAATCCGTTCGCACACAGATGAAAACTACTCATAATTTGAACAAAACTTTGTCTAATGAATTGAGAGAACGTAAATTACATATGAGGTGAAGGGCTCACCCGAACCATTTTGACAATTACATACTTGTACCCATTCTCTCATAGAGAAAACCATTTTTCTTTATGTACACCAACCAACAACAACACAATAGGAAATACATAATGTTATAAACCCTACTCTACTTGTTCCTTTTCTTCTTTCCTTCCCAATTATACTTTTTTCATCATGTTCCTCTCTTTTTTTTCTTATTGATTTACATATAGAAGGCAGGAGGCAAAATCACAGCCAAAAAAACATCTCCTTATCTCTTTAATTTTATCTCCCTCTCCCAAAGAAAATTGAAAAAAAAGGGGAAAAAAAAAGATGAGCACACAGCAATCCTATATGATTACCTCGGCTTTGGTTGTGAACATAATGGTCGGACAAGCCGCTGGGCTGATGGACTACCCAACAGCATAGCCTGAGATCGAGTAAGCATCTCAACCATTGATGGGGTTTGATAGGCCTGAACAAGACTTGAACCGTCGGTAGAGTCACCTCTTGCTGTCGCTCGTTGCCATGAGTGCGAGCTCAGTCCTGAAAGAATATATGCTCTCCCAGATGCCTCGTACACATGCCTGCTTGCCATCCTCTCTTGCATTTCCTTGAGCTCAGCATCCAATGCTACACAAAGGCGGTCATTGGATTTTGCTGACACAGTCTCTGACAATACCCTTCGACAATTTTCAAGGGTTGAAACTGCACCAGCTAAGTCTCCCAGCTCAGCTGCAGCTCGTGCTTGTGCCATTGCCTCAGCCGCTTGGAGCCTATTACGTTGCCTGTCCACTTCTATTGACACTAGTGCTTGCCCAGCTACTTCAGGTCTCTCAATTTTAACTTCTCCACTTTCTATTGTTGCCATTTCTTTAGTTAAGGGATCCTTGTAAATGCATCTCACCTTTATCAATGATGTCAGATTGCTAGAAGACTCTGCTGGGACATTAACTGAAACCAGAAAATCCCTCTCTTCATCTGCATACATATCTCCAACATCAATAAATCCTCTGCGTCCATCAGCCATCACACGACTCGGGTAGCTTCCTGCTTTTAGTGAACCAAGGAAGAGACTTGTGTTCACACACTCAACTGCCACCTGCAGCTCTTGCACCACAACACTCAAAAGCCCCCCAATGCACTGTGCAAATGCATCCTGGATGACAGCTTCAGTCTCAATGAAAGAAAAGGTCCCTCCAGATATCTCTGAAATGGAGTGCATTGATGATGCATCGTGATCTGCACCAAAACCAAATGCGTGCACTGGAATCTGGAAGCCTGTATTGTCACCACCATGAATAGACAAAGGAAGGAGCAACTGATAATTTGGTTGAGGTTGGTTAGCGCCAGAGACGCTGACAGTATAAGTGTCCTGCCCATCAGACAACAGTATTATACTGGCAACAGGATTCTTTCCCCTTCGATCTTCCAATACCTTGCCACCCTTTCTTAGGCCCTCAGCAATGTTGGTCCCACCATTTGCAACCAGAGAGTTAACAGCTTGCAGTGCCTGCTGGCGTCCAGTGTCAGTCATTCGGCGGAGGGGAAAGAGACGACGGGCTGTTGAAGAGAAGGCAATGACTGAGAGCCTGTCATTGGAGCCAAGATTCTGTATTACAAACCCCATAGCCCGTTTTAGCAATGCAAGCTTTGTTCCTGCCATGCTACCACTGATGTCAAGCACCGTGACTAGGTCTACTGGAGCACGATGAGTCTGGGAAAATTGTGGCAAACTAGACTGGTTTCTGCTAGGATTTTGCCTTGTAACTGAAGTAGCAGCTTTCAGATGGACCAAAACGGTAAAATTGTCATACGAACTGGATTTTGGAACAGCTGAAACCTCTGGGAACGTTTTGATCTCTATTGTCCTACAAAAATTTTCACCAGTGCCATTTTTATTGCAAGAGCTTCTCTCATCGAACACAGGTTGGTGATCTAAGGATTCATCATCATTAAAGACACCTGGCTCATGGGCCTGATACAGTGGCACAATGTGTCGTCGGCTCAAATCTCTTCGAGGAGGAGGTAGTCGACGAACCATAGTCACCAAAGCATCATTCTGAGACCAACCAACTGGACCGATAGCTGCCCTTCCAGGAGGAGGATCCAGATTAGGACCCTGCACTGGGATTTCTTTCCATTTTGCCCTACAAACTGGGCAAATTTGGTTGCCGTGTTTGACATTTGATGTGATGCAGTGGAAATGAAAAGAATGTGAACATTCTGCGGTGAAAAGGGCATGGCCGCCTCCTTGTTTCATTTTAGTTAAGCATATCGAGCACGTCTGCTGAAAACATAAAACAAGTGTAAGAAAGAAAGCGTAAATAAGCCATATCAATCAAAAGTTCAAAACACACATACACATGGACACATACATAAATTTAAACAATCTCAAAGGAAATATCATTTATCATTGTAGTATGAAGATTATAGTGCATGGAGGAATTCAACAGTATTGTGCTAAGTACAAGGACAAATATAGTACTGAAAATACACAAACATTCCACAATTGCAAGGAATTCGACAGTATTGTGCATTTAGAATTACAATATATATCATTCAATGCATTCTTTTTTTATTTGATTTAATATGGGTATAATTGGAAAATATGGGAAAGGAAATAAAATGACATCTCCCGGTTACTTTCCTAGCATTACCAAACATGGGAAAGGAATCTTCATTTCCCATCCCTTGGGAAATGACATAGGAAGGGATTTCCCCTCAAATCCGTTACATGAAGCAAACGGGAGGGAGGGATACTTTTGTTTTTTTAAATTTTGTGGTAAGTCTGCCGTACATTTTCAAAAGAGATGCCCTTTAAAATAGGGTACGCTAAGCAAGTAGAATTATCACATACCGACAAGAAAAAGGAAGTGATTACTAGTAAGCTGAAAAAGTCAATGTTATGTGTCCAGTCAGGGGTATAATGGGGAAAATGGCAAAAATGATCATGGAAACCCAAAAATTTGCTCAATTTTATGCCTTAAAAATCAAAACAGGGAAAAAGAGACGTTCACTGAGAAAAAGATAGAAGTTGAAAAAAGAAAAAAGAAAAAAAAGAAACGATAAACAAAATTAGTGAGGGAATACAGGAGCAACTTCATTAACAAAAAATTGAAAACTACTCTATGATTTGTTCGGTTTGAATGAAATATAAAATTTGCAAAAAGAACAGAGAGAACCATTTTTAAGAAACCATAGAATGGACCTGAGGCTTGAAAAGAGCCAGAGAAACCAATTTATCAAGCAAAAGGAAAATCATAAGTTGCTTTATAAGACTACTTTCCCCTTTCTTTTATCTTTGATGAAACTCACTGCCAGAAAGCTTGCAGATTAACAGTCAACAGATGAGGCCAGCAAATGGCCAAACAAGCTACTTTCCTTTTTTCTTCCATGGGAAGGAGGAAAAGGAAAGGTAAAACCTTTAGTCTTCTTTTACTATTTAGGCAAACAAGAATGGTCCTGAAAGCGACTTGTGCATTAACCCCACATGCTCAAAGAGAGCAAAACAACATAACATTAGATTTCCATCCATAATTTTTTGTGCTCCTCAAAATCTGCTAAAATATGGTATCATCAAAGACCTCATGTGTATTGAGGGAAAAAAGGAAAAGAACTAGTGTGTAAATTCTCAAAATACTTTTCCTGAAAATATGCAGGTAAGAAGCATAAACCATGAACAAAGAATAACGTTATTAGTGAAAGATCATGTAGTTTCATCCATTAGATGAAGTAATATATCAATCATAATTATTGGAACCAAATTCGAAATCAGATTTTAAAGTCGCAGCACAAAAGAAATGGAAGCAATTTCTAAGCTATTTCCATGTCATTGAAAAATCATAAATGAATGCTCCAAGGATCCTAATACCCCTGATTGGTTGCTTGGGGAAAGCAAGGAAATTTAATTTTGAAACGAATATTGTTCAAATAAATTATCTCGTAACATCTCAAAATATGAAAAGAAAAGTAACATCCACAAGACATAACAGACGAAACCAATTAAAGCAGCATCAACTATATATTTTATATGATATACATGACCAATATTATTAACCATTGAGCTAAGCTGAGATGAAAGTTCTGCCCTCTAAAATACTATACCGAGGAAAACTGGAAAACCACAAAGCAGACACAAAACTTCATTTTCTCAGCACATAAACAGAATCAACTCAAAATGATAAGAACCCATCAATTTTGTAAACACACACACAACCACATAACCCATTTCATCCTTTCTAATGAGATGTAAAGACAAACCTTGGACGATTTGCTTCCACTTCTAGAGAGCTTCAAACCATGAGAGGATGGCGTTGGCGTGGTGGGCCTGGACGAGCCCATGGCCCAATTGGCAGGTGAAAGCAAAGCAGCATCAGACAATCTCTCAGCTGAGTCCAGAGAGGAGGGAGATGAATCCTCTAGTGTTTTTGGAAGATACACACACAGATTCAGTCCCAGTGCTAACTTTGCTTTCCTCCATTTGCTCCCCATTTTTCACTTGAAGATTTCAAGCTTAAAACCCAGAACCCAAAACCTATGCTTTGAGCCTCAGCTCAAGAAATTTAAAAGAGAGCACAGAAAGACTAAAAATTTAAGCAAAATTCACAAAACCCAGATCTCAAAGTGCTTAAATTAAGCTGCTTTAGCTCTTTTCTCTAGCTGGGAGAGAGTTCTTGGAATGAGAGAGAGATAATGGACTTTAAGAAAAGTTGAAATGGAACACGAAATTCGAGAGAGAGAGAGAGAGAGAGAGAGAGAGAGAGAGAGGTTTAATGGGAGGGGTTTTAGCTAATCAAGGAGAGAGGGAAAATGGGGTTGGGCTATATTTGCAGAAGAATGAGAAGCTAAATGTCAAAACAGAGCAACTGCGTCATATGGGGGGCTTGTACCAGTCTTCTTCTTGTTGCTGTCCCTGGCCGCCATGAGAGAGCAAAAGAGAGTGGCTTTGCTTGGTCTTAAGAGGCTGTGAGTGTGGGTTTATTGAGGATGTTGACCTTTGTTGTTGGGTTGAAGTAGGAGCTTAGCTGTAGAGAATGGTAAAAGGAGCAAAAGGACATAAATACAAAAGCACGTTTTGGTTGAATAGGCGAAAGTTGGCTGCTTTGTATTATTATCTCTCACTTTCTTTTTCATCAAATTATCATTAATTGAACCACTACTTTCTTTCTCTCTTTTTTTTTTTTTTTTTTTTTTTTTACTTTTCCTTCTAGTTTCCATGAATTTTTTACATAAAAAAGAAAATATAAATCATAGTTTTAAACGTGACATTGACAAGGGGTAATTTGGAAAATCATATGATGTATCTTTAGTCAGCAGCAGCTTTACAGATACCCAAATTTCATCTTTTATTTTATCAAAAAAAGGAAAAATAAAATAAAATCATCTTTTATCTTTCTGGGCGAGATGATGTTTGCTGTAAAAAGAATATGAATAAAATGACAACCTTTCGAACCTGAAAATGTCCACCAAATTCCATGACAATTTTTCACACTTACAAATGCCGCATTTTCTTAATGTTTTTTTTTTCTCCACGTAACAGTAATATTCTGCAACAAAACTCTTGATCTTGATATCCAACCATCTTGTTGCCTTATTTAACAAAGTCAACTCTTCTGGAATGTTATCTATTTCCATGTATGTATAGACAAATAAACCAAGCGGTCCTGCTTGATTCTTTGTACTCACTCATGAATCATGATCAATTCATTTTCCAGCAGCTTTGGTTGATTAATATAGTTTCTACCTAAAATGAGAAGAAATTAAAGAGTTCAAGTTTAACGAGGGTAAATTAAGCTATCTATAATTTTATTCATCTAAACATCAACAATGTATCAAATACTGTAAAATGCGCAGAAGCCGTCTTTTTCTTTGTGTAATATGTATAAGTATAAAGGGAGTAATAATAATGTTATGCAGATAAGCAGCAATGTTTAGTGTTAGTGGCTGGTTGTCAAATCCCTCTTTTTTTCTTACTTTGGCTAATAAAATAGCGTTCAAAATGTTGAGTGGATCATGCCATAATCTCCTTCTACAGGCCCGCCTGATCATAATCTATTTGACAAAAAGAATACCCCATTACAACATGTATGGCTCAAATTTTTTTTTATTTTTTATCATGAATGACAATTGGCTTTGGCCCCCATGCTGCGCTATGGATCATGATGATGAATCATTGTTGGCCATGGAGTCAAATGGTGCCATTTTTTTTAATCATGCAAATTTTTCTTTGAATTTTCTTCTTCTATATATATATATATAGAGAGAGAGAGAGAGGAGAGAGAGAGAGAGAGAGAGAGAGAAGAAGAAGAAAAATGGCACCATTTGCCCCACATGAGCTGATCATGATAAGTTTGCCACACGTGCACATCATCACAGCAGTCCTTTTGTGGTTCCCATGTCAACAGGGTTGACATTACAACTAGATCTCATCACATGACTTGGATTTCTCTTTTGTTTTCCTCTGAATTTATTTCCCATTGCTTTTGCTTGTTAATTTTCTTTTTCCCTCTTTTGACTTTTAAGAGCCTAATTAGGGTTCTTGATGTTTTGATATATTCCATCTAGATTTCCCATACTGTAGAAAACAACACTTGACCTAAAAATGGAGTAATTATAGAATACTATCATAGTACAATCACGTGGTACATTTTGTACACGTGTTATAATATAAATAGACATTTATTGATATTATTTTTTAAAATGGGGAAAAATAAACATTGTAGTCCACCCATATTATAACACGTGTATAAGATATACCACGTGACCATAATACCGTAGTATTCTCCTAGAGATGGTAAAAACATTTTAGGAAGAATTTCGAACACAAATTTGGGAAAATATTCCGAAAATGAAATTTGTAATATTCCCAAAGTAGTTTTATTTTCCTATGGATTCTTTTCACAACCAAATGGGCCTTAGAAGGAGGACCACAATTCTTGTTCTTCCTGCCCTTCATTTTTAATCATGCAATCTCCCTTATTATAACTAGAAACCGAAAGAAGAAAGAAATAGAAGAAACTTTTCAGCGCAATGTAGGGTTTGGCAATGTCTACGGTCATCATATTGGCTCAATATTTCTTTAATAAACAAATTGTTTTTATTTTTAATTCCACCTAAAACGATGTGTTCAAAGTTTCAAACCTTGTATAATCATATATTAACGTGGTTTCGTGTGTATTTTAAAAACATACAAAACCTTGGTCGGTGAACCCATGCACATCACCACCACCCTCATAATTTGTCATATCGATTCAATGGTCAAAAACTGGCACTTGGGAATTTTCAACAAAACCCTAAACCCTAACCACTATGCTTTGATAATTTCTACAAGACTAGTAGGCTATGGCAGAGTCTATGGCAGGCATGGGTTCTTCGAGAAGAATCGTGCTTGAAAATTACAAATTTGATGTTAAATGCTGCGCGCCTAATATATTCTTGGAAGACTATTGAGTTGACTGAGTTATTTGTCTTGATATGCTATATCTTGATTATTTCCTAGGTTAATTTTGGCTAAAAGTGAAAGTGTACTCTTAAAAAAAAAAAGGGGGGGCGGGGGGGGGAGGGGGGGGGGGTGTTGCGTGTAAGTAGGTGGTGTGTGTGGTGTGGGGTTGAATTGAATTGTTGGTTCAAATATTCCCCTTCCCCTTAGGATTTGGAATAGTATATAGCAGTATAGGCACATTACACAGCTTTGTTCTCTATGCAAAAATACATTCTTCCATATCTCTATCTAGAGTCAGTTGGGTAGTGGGATTTTGAAAAATGAGTTTGTGGGAGAGAATTTGTATCTCCATTATTTTGAAAATATTTGGAGATTGTCTACTGAGAAAGAGGCATCAAGAATCTCTCTCAATCACAAGAACCTTAAAGAGACACATGACATCTCATGAGCAGCTTCTGAAATTGAGAGTGTGCTGCTCACAGTGCACTCTGCCTCAAAGGAGCCTCAAAGCATCCAACAAGACACCAAACACTAAATCCAAATCAAGGACTTAACCATCATGTAGTGAAGTGAGTGGGAGTTCCCTATTCCCACTTTATACACTACTCTCCTACCCTCATGGCTCATGGCTCATGGCCTCATATAATAATATCACAAGACAATACCCTTTAAAAGAAAGAAAGAAAGAAAAATGCTGTGGCTTTTTAGAATGCTAAAGTTATTCCTCTCCCCCACAAAAGAACATCAACAAGGAACCAAGAAAGTGACACCCTTTTTATTTCACCCCTCCTTTTGAGAGCACACATGCATGCCTCACACAACACAACTAGCCCTAGCAAGTGAGAGAGAGAGAGAGAGTAATGAAGAGTTCCTAGCAATGAGTGGAGATCCATTATAACAAAGAATCCTCATAAAAACCCTTTGTGGGGAGGGGATAGGATTCCCTTTTACTACCTCTAAATTTGCCAGACTTTCTGGGGCAAGTCAACCAGAAAGCTGACCCTTTTTATATGCAAGAGGAATCCCTATTCTTATGGTGCTCCCCACTTGGGTAGTGAAAGTGAGATTAAGGGCATTGGATGTCTTGCATATTTTAGAAAATACTCAAATTCATGCTTTACTTAAATAATTAATCTCTTTCTCTCTCTTAATTTGTATAAAAATTAAGTAAACTATATAACTGATTATGTTGAATCAACGCGATCGACGGTTATTAGACATTGACGCATATTTGTACATATCAAATCTATTGAAGGATCAAATTTTTTCAATGCAGATTGGTTCTAGGTTCTCCCTTCTTTTAGAGAACATACAAACATGATTTGTAGTGTAGAATAAAATACAATGCAAAAGCTGGAGAATTTTTTTTTTAGTGGGAAGGCAGAGATTATGTAATTCAAATATATTAATGCAAAAGCTGGAGAATTTTTTCTTCATCACTCAGTGATTTAGTTTGGAACATTAATTATTACATGTATGCTAGTCCTCTAACTCTTTAATTAGGATAATATAAGATGGACTTTAAACCACGCATATCCACTATAGGGAACCAGTAGCTAAGCAGCTTTTTACCTTAATTATGATGTCACATGTATTGATCAACAGCAAGTCAAACCTAATCCATGCCTCCACTGGGGTCCATATGTTTTAAGATGATGTCCATATTTGGGATTGTGCAAGTCCTTTTCAAACTTCTTTTTATCTTTTATCTTTTTTCATAATTTTACTTTTTATCAGCATATTCATGTATGTGTATGTGCATCATGTATCATAATGCCTTCTGGGTATAGTGGGTTTTGGCATCATTTTGAGCTTCATCCTCAGCTTTGAATGTGACTTGGGCTTGGTCTGGCCTCAGCTTGCTAAGGTTTAACCCAAAGCTGTTGCCCTTGCCAAATCAATAGGGGATTGTTTTGCACTTTGCTGCTTAACAATTCTTTAGCTTTAAGCATGCCTCATAATGCCAACTTATACAACATTTGGTAGATTTAACCTCTCATGGGTAACTGTCTGTGATCTGGTAAAGCACTAATTCACCAAAAATTTAGTAGAAAACTATTATGAAAGAAAAAAAAAAAAAAAAAAAAAAAATGTTGAAGCCCAGTTTCTATGAAGACTCTATTCTAAAGATGAAATATCAAAACAATCCAATTGAATTCAAGAATCTCTCTCTTCTTTTCCTCCCATATCCTCATATAATCCTCTGTTGTAAGTTGTAACAATTGTAAAGGTCAGTTGAGATTGAGATTACTTGCAACTCATAGTTTTTCAGTATCTCATGTCTCAAGCCTTTGTCCAACTTAGCTCTATGTGTATCCTTCCATGTGTGAGTCAATCAAATGGTACTTTTGGTTGATGCGTCATTGTGTACAACATCGGCGAGATTGATTTCTACGTACCCCACACGATTCCTACACATGAGGAGATGTATGTATAGAATCAGAGCAGTGCAAAGCATGTGGAGAAGATCAGTGCATGTATAAGGAGGGGAACAATGATAACCATACCTTTGCTCGGAAAATGGCTCTGCTTTTGCTCATGACCTCAATACGAATCTTGTCTTGTAAAGGAGGCTCATCAAGCATAAATTGGAAATCTTCATTCCAAAGTGGATCACGAGTTTTTTTCACCATCTGCCAAGAAAAGGAGTTTGTACCATACGTTAAGAAAACAGGTAAACTGTGTATTGTGAATTTGTGACACATGCCTATGTTCACATCTCTGAAAATCTTGTTGATAATAAAAAGGAGCTGGTAATTATCAAAAGGGAAGTTCACCTTAGTTTTCTTTTCTTCACCTCTGAAGCAAAGGAAAGCATAAGGATTGTTGTGATGCTCCCCTTCTACATCCTCAGCTCCCTGGATCAGAACAGATAGTAAACCTGCTCCACCGAGGGACTCGGAACTGTCTGAAGACCTACTAATTCCGCTTTCACTTCTCCCATATTCATTACCATTAAGCTTATTGTTTTCTGATTTGAAAGGAACGAAAGCAAGCTCCACCACAATTTGTCCCCTATGCTTCTTGTTTTGAGGATCATTGATATTTGTGTTCTTGACCAAATCCCAGCACAAGTTCCTTTGTCAAACTGGGTGTTAGCACTTTTAGAGGAACTAACTGCATTCCCAATTTGTCATGTCTGCCAACCTATAAACAGAAAAGAAGATCAGCCTGAAATGAACCTTGTTTACAATTCAAAAAACTAACAAACAGAACCTTTTGTACACTTCTAAATAACTTATAGAGACACTAATACTAATGATCAACGTGAAAAGATACTGCAATTACTCTTCACTTTTTTTTGTATTTACTTTCACCCTTATTTAGCAGAATGGTTGAAGAATTTTTTTTTTTTTTTCTTTTTTTTTTTTTTTTTTTTTTGGTTATGGGAAACTAATATTTTTTTATCCTCATCTTCATATAGCGGAAGGAAGGGGGACACATTTTTTAACTTATTAAACAATTATTTGTGAGGAACTAAAACATATGGAACCGGTGAAAATGGGAATTAATGTTCTCTGAATTTGTTTTCAAAAACAAAAGTTGAGATTAGGGTTAAAGAACCATAAAATGTAAGAAACCCTTCTTTCTGATTCCTTTTCCTAAAGGGAGGAAAGGGCTACATCATTGAAATAACTTCAAATTCCTTAACATTAAGCATAAATCTAAGCAACAAGGGTTCACATAAATGTGGTAAAATTGCGGAAAATAACAAAAATATGGATTAAAAAGTCACAATTTTATTAAGTGTTTGAACCAAAAGATAAGAGTGAGGGGGAAAACCTTGCCCAGTCATAAAGTTGTAACTCGAGGCTTGAGTTGAGGATCCTTCACAAGAAGCTTGAACTTCTCATTCCATTCAGGATTCAACTTCTTCATCTTGACTGTGGTTTTTTTTTTTTTTTTTTTTTTTTTTTTTTTTTTTTTTTTTTTTTTTTTTTTTTTTTTTTTTTTTTTTTTTTTTTTTTTTTTTTTTTTTTTTTTTTTTTTTTTTTTTTTTTTTTTTTTTTTTTTTTTTTTTTTTTTTTTTTTTTTTTTTTTTTTTTTTTTTTTTTTTTTTTTTTTTTTTTTTTTTTTTTTTTTTTTTTTTTTTTTTTTTTTTTTTTTTTTTTTTTTTTTTTTTTTTTTTTTTTTTTTTTTTTTTTTTTTTTTTTTTTTTTTTTTTTTTTTTTTTTTTTTTTTTTTTTTTTTTTTTTTTTTTTTTTTTTTTTTTTTTTTTTTTTTTTTTTTTTTTTTTTTTTTTTTTTTTTTTTTTTTTTTTTTTTTTTTTTTTTTTTTTTTTGTTTTAGATCGACTAGTAAAATTCTATGTGTCCGTCTTTGCAACCGAGTTCGAAATGCCTTCTAACAACATTCTTCATTAATATTTGAAGATGCTATTGACCAAGAAATGTATCCACAAATATTCTTTTCCTTGTTTCTATCATGTTATGCACCTATCTCAATGGAAGAAAGCAAGAATACAAATCTATAGCAGCCGAGAGAAACGATGTAGTCTGCTATTGCTAAGAGCCAACTGCGTTTCAATTAACTTTATTTGTTCTTGGCCTTACTAAAATTGTGGACGATTTCTTCCTTCTTCTTTTTTTATGCCCGATGACGTTTTTTTCTTGTTTATGCCCAGCTTTGAAATGTTTTATTTATAAAAGATAAATACAGTTAGACCTTGGAAGTGTTGTTTTCTTGTTAGATTACAACTGTCTATTTATTAAATGGGTTAGTCCAAAGTTACAATCTTCTTAATTTGCTGGCGATATTGAAAAGCCACCCCACATCTGAATTGAAATGAGACGAGTTTTTGGTGTAATTAACCAACATATATCCATAATTAGTTTAAAGGTCTGTATGGCATTTGCTTTGTTGGTTCATTTCTAGGTTGTGTTCGTGTCAATATCTAAACTCAAACGCGACATGTTATTTTGTGTGACTATAAGTTTATAACAAGTTAAAAAAACATAACACATAAAAATTAAAAGGCTTTGAACACAACATGTCCCAAACTCAATTATCAAGAGCATTAGAATAGAAAAACAACACAAAAGCAACATCCTCCATGAGCGTCTTCAATTTTGATCACGTTTAGGATTTATTTCATTGGAATTAACAAAAAATATTTATTTCTGAACATGTCACTAACGGATTTCGAATGTTTGCCTCGAAGCAAATTCGCATTTTCTCGTGCGAAATCGTAGCGTGAATGATTTTGATAGGCCTAGAATGAGCCCCTTACAAATTTATAGCAAAAAAAAAGAAACAAAAGACAACATGAAAATCAGAAATATAACATTGAATTGGGCCTATCTAAACCCCCGCAGAGCAAATGTCTGTGTGATACAGCTATAGCCCATATCCAACCCAGCTCCAATCGTGATAATATCTCTCAGCTTGGGCTTTTCATTGCCTTCCACAAGCTCTTCGACTCTTTGAAGTGTGTACTCGGAAATAACCCATGGTTTCCCATCATTTCAATCACACAACAACAAACCAGATTGTGTCTTCATGCAAGAAAATGAGAGTGCAATTGCCATTGGAAAATGGAGAAGAAGAAGAAGAAGAAAGCTGCTTTCCACTTGAGAAAATCATGAAAGTACTTGACCCAAAAGCACCTAGAAACATATTGGTGCTTCCACATGATGGCTTGAATTCCTGATCACAATCATAGAATAAGATGTGGAATTGAATTACAAGAGCAATTAAGCAAAGCAGTGCACTTAAGCAAGCATTGACCCCAACACAGAATTTGGGCAGGTTGAAATCAATGAACACTTAATTACTCTCTGCAACAAGTCTTTTTTTTTCTTCTTCTTATATATGACAGTTTTTATTTGTTAATGCAGCTTCCATTGGGCTAAATAATGTTGTAAAATGAGTGCAAATTTTACAATTGCCCTAGCTTGACCTTGACCTTGACTTTGACCTCAGTCTACCCAGATTCTAAGGGAGCTATCAGACCATGCCCCTGATTAACATTTGCTTTCAAATTAAGAAATTTGAAGCTCAGTTTGGTTACTTCTAGGAAAGCCCAATTTCCATTGAAGTTCTTTGTTTTTTTAGCTTGGTATTTGCATTTCTTTCCTTCTTTTTTTTGGTTGGTCTGATCATTTCTTTTGACTAAGAAGTTTTGCTTGGGAATGTCAGCTCTTTGACTCTGTCTCCAATTTATAATTATATTTTACTCATCATTTATGGTCAACTCATACCCAAGTGAATTCAAGTTTCATTTTTTATTTGGTCAACTCGTAACTATGATTGTTGTTGCCTCTTATTTTTTTATTTGTCTATTTTTATGTAGTAGAGGCATGGCCTTAATAATTCTTGTTACAGCTACTAGCTCCTTGCCAATTAGTTTTTTTAAAAGTTTTATTTTCATTTAGAATTATAAAAATAAAAATAAAATAATGCGTAATTGTGTTTCATAAATATAGGACCCACTATCTGAATTTTTTTAATATGAAAAAAATGTTAATTTATCATATTATCCTTATTTAATTAATAATTTCAATTCTTAATATTTGCATTAAGTAAATGTATTTTCTAATATTTTGAATGTTTACTTTATATATATAGATTACTCTATTTTCACACTAATACCTGTACTTTTATGAATTATTTTGCAAACAAAGTTGCATTATATCCACCATAATTTGTCTTAACTTCCACTTAACTAAAAAAATACACAAAGGCCAGTGGGGTATAGTAGTGGTTGAGCTCTTCCACCTCCACCAATATGAACAGAGGTTCAAAACCCCCATACACCAAATAATATTTGTGTAAATCCCCTTCCTTAATCGCTCGTGCTAAAAAAAATTAAAAAACTAAAAAACAACCACATACTTCTCATCTCTAGTCTCTACTTCTAGAAGTAGACCAAAACCCAAAACTGCTAATTTTATTTTTATATTATATCCAAGTCACTTGGATAAACGTCACAGTCACGATATAATCATTCTTAATGTAATTAATTCTTCACGGCCTAAGATTCAAAATAGAAATAGGCTAAGAGTGTATGGTGGTGGATGACCTATTCTTTTGTATTTTTATTTGAGTTGCTAGCCAGCTATCATATGATATGAAGCCTTCAATTGGCTAAGAATAAATGGAGACCAAGTTAGGGCTCAAAATGACAGGTTGATAAATTAGGTTGAGATTTCAATCACATTTGTAACGACACATTTTGCAAATGGAAAATACTTCCCTCTTTATCAAGTAAGTAGGAACTTCTACATTCCTATAAATAGCAGTCTAACATGTGTTCACAGGAGGAGTTTCTCCTACAGGAACAGAGGCAAGTAGTATCCTTTGCAAATTGAGTTTACCAATCTGACCCTTTCCATTTTTTAATCTCCAAATTTAGAAAATTAGGACCCAGGTTAGCATATTAATTAGTTTATGTACCAAATTTGGCTTTGTTTGTGTTATAGATCATGAAGAATCTTGAACCACCATCTCAATCCTTATTGCATTACTAATATTATTTATAAATCATTGACTTTTTATATCGTCTTGCATGCTCTGTGGTAAACATTTTTTATTTGGTAATCAGATTCTTTTCACTAAATAAATAAACTAGTTCTACAATTAATATGCTACAAAAATTCTACGAGCCAATTAATATAAAACTGAAACTTGTTGCTTGAGATGATCTTAATTAATGTGATGCATGTTTGCATTATGCGCATCTAGAAGGTCAGTTTGTCAATTCCCTTTCTCCAAGGGCAGACCTACAAAGGGGCTTGACTAGGTTTTAGCTCACTGCTGATTTTGTAGTTTAATCGTAATTGTACAACAAAATCCACTACAATAAGTTTAGCCCACTTATCTTAAAGCCTATCATAGTCACCCACATCATAATAATTTTTTTTTTCTTCTACTCACTAAAATCCTACCATATTGTCTATAAAAAAAAGGTTTTTTAGGTTTTAGACATAAAAAAATTTTCACTTTT